AACATCACTTCCTCAAGGATGCTTGCGCTGATCTTCCAGTACATTGTCTGCTATTAACATAAGTACTCTGAGTGGAAACCACCTCCCAATCACCTCTGTCACCTTTGATACTTATATATATATATTTTGTTACCTCTTTGTGCCTGCCAGTGCTACGAAGCCATATCTTCTGAGTGGAGACCTCGTGTGACTTGTACTTAACATATGGTCAGTATTCAGTATATATTATTTAAATGAATAAACAAATGATAAAACATATCGTAAGGTTTCTTCCAGATAATGTAAATTTTTGCTTTTCTATTTAAAGAAAAATAGTACAACAGAATTATGATAGTTCTGACTTTAAAAAGACACAGGGAGCATCTCATTCAATAGACCTCAGAACTTCAGAGAAAATAGGGGGTTTATAATCATAAAAAGGAGAGTTCCGTTTGTTCTAATGTTAAATACACATTTTTCAAATATCCTATGTTTAATTACCCTGAGACCAGATTCAAGCTAGCATGAAATAAGCACTATTTAGATGTAGCTGAGCACATGGATAATTTTCACAATGCTAGGGAATGAAATGAAGTCCAAATCTCAAAAGAAAACCACAAGCTAAGAAAGTAATTTTGTAGAGATTTTTTTTTTTTTGAGTCAGTCTATCAGAATCCATTTGCTCTAGGTTTTCAGTTGCTGCATCTCCAGATATTCATCTTTTGTTTTCCAGCATTTTCTGCACTTACAGTTTTAAAAAGAATTTATAATCCATCAAGGTAGTATGTGTATTATACCAAATGGCTGTTTTAAAATGTGTTTGGAAAAAATATATTTATTACGGAGAAGTTCCACATCATTTTAACCCAGATCAAAGGTACATGTTACTGCTGCTTTTAGATCTAGAAGTAAAATTTTGAGTTTCAGTTCAAGCAGCTGGGATATCCTACTCTCTTTAGAATCTGAAGTCCAAACTGAAGCATCAATTCCTTATACAAAACATGCTTTGACAGCTTTTGTAGTAATTAGTAATTTGCCCAACTGAGCATGGTCAGACTTCTGGGCCCATGAGAAGCATCCCAGGAGACCTCTTCTGGTCAGGATGCCTTTAGCATGTTGAAAAAATACTCTTAGTAAAATCCTGAGGTTGATGGGCACAGTATGGCACACTACTAAAATCCTTTTACTCTTCCCAGGTCAAATTATTCAGTTGTAAGTTATATAACACAAGCTAAGTTAAAATGGTTTTACTGAATTTTACCATTATCTTGTTATAAACCTGTTATAACCGGTTACTAGTTATAAACCTGAAACTCCTTCTAAACATAGCAAGTTACTCCTTTTTCTTTGTCCTTATTTGATCCTATGTCTAATTAGAATTAATTTTTTTTAAATAATAGGTACTGATTGGACTTCATTAAAATGTCGAGTAAAAATGTATCAAAAATTCTAAAATGCCACACTCTGCATATTAAGTGCAATGTTTGATTTGATGCTAAATTTGATGAGACGAGTACATTATAACCAAAGCCCATACACAACTTTGTAGTTTAACATTAAAATAAGCCCACAGACAAATGAAAAATGGTTAAAAATGTGGACTAAATTTTCCCAGTATAAAAGTTGCAGCTTAGTCATTTTTTTTTCATTCTCTAAAAGGAAAAAAAAAAAAGTATATTGTCTCTAACCTTACTATCCAAAAAGGTAAGTCAAAAGATTTATAAAAGTTAAATAAGAATACAAGCTTCCTTGTAAATACATGAATTCTTACCCTCCTAAAACATTACTTATTTGATAAATATATCTTCAACAAAGATTACCACATTCTGTGATGCTTATTGTTTTCTCAGTTACTATCATTTCCTTAAACTTTTTACTCCAGAAATGAACTGATATGAAGGTGTACTGATTAAAGTTTATGTCTTTTGGGGGCACCTGGGTGGCTCAGTGGGTTAAAGTCTCTGCCTTTGGCTCAGGTCATAATCCCAGGGTCCTGGGATCGAGCCCCACATCGGGCTCTCTGCTTAGTGGGGAGCCTGCTTCCTCCTCCCTCTCTCTCTCTCTCTGCCTGCCTCTCTGCCTACTTGTAATCTCTGTCAAGTAGATGGATAAAATCTTTAAAAAAAATAATAAAGTCTATGTCTTTTCTAAGAAATAACAAGTGTTAGCTCATGCACTGTTGATGGGAATAAAAATTGGTACAGCTACTGTGGATAGCAGTATAGAGTTTCCTCAAAAAATTGAAAATAGATATACAAGTCAATAATTTCACTAATGGACAGTTACCCAAAGAAATGAAAACACTAACTAAAAAAGATATATGCACTCCTGTTTATTGAAGCATTATTTATAACAGACAAGATATAGAAGCAACCCAAAATGTCCATTGATGAATGGATAAAGAAAATGTGGTATATATACAATGGAATATTACTTAGCCATAAGAAATAGAATGAGAAATAGAAAAAGAATGAGATCTTGCCATATGTAACAACATGGATGGCCCCAGAGGGTGTTATGTTAAATGAAATAACTCAGAGAAAGGCAAATACCGTATAAAGAATCTAAAAAATAAAACAAATACATAAACAAATAAAAGCAGAAAGAGACCCATAAATACAAAGAGCAAATTAGTGGTTTCCAGATTGGGAGGGAGGGCAAAATGGGTGAAGGAGAGTGGGGGATACAGGCTTCCAGTTATGGAATGACTAAAGGACAGGGATGATAGGCACAGCTTAGAGCATATAGTCAGTGGTACTGTAATACCATTGTATGGTGACGGATGGTAGATACACTTATGAGCATAGCAAAATGTACAGTTTTGCTTAATCACTGTTTCATACCTGAAACTAATGTAATATTGTGTGTCAAGTATATTTTAATTAGGAAGATTTTTTAAGTCTGTCTTTTTTCGTTTAAAAAATGGTAAGTATTAAACCTGTTGAAGTGAAGAATGCAGTGATTTGTTACTGTATTATATGTATTAATTCAATATTGTCATTGTTGATTAACTCATTTGAAAAGAGGCAGAATTTCTTGACAGTTGGTATAAATCTATATAAAACATCACTGCCTATATCTATAAGTCCATGATAATAATAACAGTTAGTACAATTAAAAAGTTTGTTCCATGCATAACTCTGAAGGAGGATATTATCTTCTCTTCCTGACTTAAAACAGAGCAGTTGATATTCAGAGACTATCCCAAACTCATGCTGCCACAATTGTGCAAAACAGAAACTCAAATCCAAGTCATTTGGGTGAAAATTCAGTGCTTTTTTAAAAGAAATGTTGTCTATTTGATATCCTGTGTCTTTGAATCTACCAAAAATTTACCTTCTCTCTACTTAATTCATAAATAAAATAAATTTTAGATAATCATTATAGTTCTGACCAGTCTTTGATCTCATTTTTGCTCTGTATTCACATTTTTTGCTCAGGTAGAACTGTTTCCCTATGTCTCAGCCAGGTCTTCCATTTATTTTCATTAATGTGGCATTGCTCCAAGTGAATTTAATGGTTGTATGAAGCATTTCTTCTACTCTCCTGCTCTTTGATATTTAGCAAATGCCTGCCATCAGGCATTCTCACCAGATGTTCACAACCAGGCACATACCATACTTCAAAGTCTTACTATTATATCTGTCACATGACATTTGTGTTCACATGGCATTTATGTTAAATGAATTATAGAGTGTTGAATACAGCAATAATGATAATAGGTAAAAGCTATTGATGAATAGTTTTAATGGTGTAGGTATTTAGTATCTGCCAAGATTCATGTTTCCTCATCAATTATATTCTGCCGAAAGCTTTTCTGAATCACCCAAGCTCTAGTCCCACCGTCCAGGCATATATGGGTTTATCACATTACATGAAGGACCAGTGTAAGCTAAGCTTAGAGATTTATAATTTCTTAATATATTTTATGAAATTTTATTTTAATTCAGCTTAAGATGTTTTTATTGCTACTTTAGAGTAGTTTCTTTCTGGATGAAAAAATAAATGTTTTGTACTATTTAATAGCCACCTACTATACACATTACACGTAAAAGCATGATTTTATTTTACTATGAGACACAGATACTGAATTACATCAAATACTTTTATGCACTGATAGATCATACAGTTTCTCCTTGAGCTAATCCTATTATAAAGTTATAATAATAGCTTTTCTAATAATGAACCTTCTTTACGCTCATGAGATGAAGCCAATTTAAACATGATGTACAAATCTAATACACTATTGTGCTAAATTTTATTGTGTATGTTTGCCTATATACTCATAATAAAAATTGGTATTTCTTGTTTATTACTGTAACCACCCCTGTTAAATTTTGATCTCAGAGTTATACATACACGGCAAATTCACAAACTATTTTTTTATTTTCAACACTCTAGGAAAATTAAATTTCACAGAAATTACCTTTCCTTGGACAATTGAAAAGAACTTCTAGTGGTATCACTTGGGCTATGGGTTTTTAACTTTTGTTTTTGTTCTTTTTTGCTTCAAAAAATACTTTTGAAGAATGCCTTGCACAATTTCTATTTATACCGTAATAATTTTTTAATTTTTATCTTCTTGAATAAATTCAGTAACACAGTTTTTTAGAAAATTAACCAATGAGATCTAGATTATCAAATTAGCCTCAAGCTATATAAGGTATTCTATCATAATTTATAATTTTCTTAGTTTTTCTGTATCATTTACTGTATTATCTTTTACATTCTTAATAGTATTTTCTTTTATTATGTTTACTATATAGGGTTAGTTGCTTATTCATTTTAATGATAAAACTAAAGGAGCAACATACATTTATTAGTACTAATTATCATACCATATAATCAAAATTCCTTCAAAACAGCTGTGTGAATTTATTCTTTCCTATCAAATTCCATTTGCTTGGGAGCTCCCTAGCATTGAGTGCTGGAAACAGATCAAATACTTTCATTATTTGAGTTCCAATTGTTCTTTCATGTGTACACACACCAACCTTGCTTCCAAAAGAAGATATCATTACCTTTTTCCCTCCAGTTTGAAAAGTTTAGGCAGTCTATGTTTTTTCTGCAGGAATATTTTAGGATATTGCTTTATAAACATAGTGTGAGCTGAGAACACACTGCAAGAACTCCTGTTTTAAAAATATAAAGAGAGAAAAATTATAATTTAGATATCATCAGATAATGGTTTCCAAGGGAAAGATTTTTAACTTCAGACATACAACTATTTACCCTAAAAAGCAAATGAAAAAAATATGAAAACTAAACATTCTATGCTTTAAAATTATCCACTATAAAAATTGTCCATAGTGTGCCTCAGTAAGAAATATTTTATGAACATCAGATTTATGGGAATGTCAATGCCAAAAATTTAATATTAAGTTGAGCCTTCTTAAAATTTTATTTCTGTAATTGATGAAAGCCCTTACATAAAATATGCCACATAATTAAATTCCTCCAAAATGATTCAAATAGAGTTCACATATACATTACCAAAAAGTATATTTATCTGAATCTTTGCGATGATTTATGAAAATCTCATGCACTGTATTTTTAGGACCAGAATAATGATGTGTTAGAGCAAAAGATCAGCACTTCCCAATCCAGAAGGTCACTGGAATCATTGGGATGCTTCTTTTAAATACAGATTTCTGATCCTTTTCCTGAGGAAACAAGATCTCCAAGGATGGAAGTCTGTGTGGACTTCTCTATTTTAGATATCCTACTCCACAGTGGACCTGAATGGCTCACTTGGTTAAGTGTCTGCCTTCCTCTCAGGTCATGATCCCAGTGTCCTGGGATCAAGCCCAGCATCATCTGTCTCCCTGCTCAGTGGGGAGTCTGCTTCTAACTCTTCCTCTGCCTGCCACTCCCTCTGCTTTTGCTCTCTCTTTACCTCTCTTTCTGTCAAATAAATAAATAAATAAATAAATTTCCTTCTCCAGGTGATTCTTAATTGTAGCCAGGTTTGCAACCCATGGCAAATACTAAAAATGCCAATAGCAAGATCCAGTGGATATAGTCAATTATCACTCAGTGTCATGTAATGACTTATATTTCTGGAAAATGTGTTTCATTCCATTTTTAATTGACAACCACCATGAAAAGTTGGTCAATTGTTTTTAAATGTTAAGCATTCATCTTAACAGCTTTTTTCAATAATTATCAAAAATGATCATACTTAATATGCCAATGAGTTAAGCAAGGTAGATGAAATGGATGCATTCCTGGAAACCTATAAACTTCTAAAACTGAATCAGGAAGAAATTGGCCACCTGAATAGACCAATATCTAGTAACTAGATTGAAGCAGTGATCAAAAACCTCCCAAGAAACAAGAGCCCAGGACCTGATGGATTCCCTGGAGAATTCTATCAAACATACAAAGAAGAAATAGTACCTATTTTCCTGAAGCTATTTCAAAAAAGAGAAACAGAAGGAAAACTTCCAGACTCTTTTTATGAAGCCAGCATTACCCTGATCCCCAAACCAGGCAAAGACTCCACCAAAAAGGAGAATTTCAGACCAATATCCCTGATGAACATGGATGCCAAGATTCTCAACAAGAACCTAGCTAATATGATCTAATAGTACATTAAAAAGATTATCCACATGACCAGGTGGGATTTATCCATGGGACACAAAGGTGGTTCAACATTTGCAAATCAATCAATGTGACAGAACAAATCAATAAGAGAAGAGAGAAGAACCACATGGTATCTCAATTGATGCAGAAAAAGATTTTGACAAGATACAGCACCCGTTCCTGATTAAAACCCTTCAAAGTATAGGGATAGAGGGAACATTCCACAACTTCATAAAATTTATGACAAACCCATAAGAATATCATCCTCAATGGGGAAAAGCTGACAGCCTTCCCTTTGATATCAGGAACATGACAAGGATGCCACTCTCGCCACTGTTGTTCAACACAGTAATAGAAGTCCTAGCAACAGCAATCAGACAACAAAAAGAAATAAAAGGTATTCAAATTGTCAAAGAAGAAGTCAAACGTTCAGTCTGGCAGATGACATGATACTTTATATGGAAAACCCAAATTCCACCCCCAAACTACTAGAACTCAAACAGCAATTCAGTAATGTGGCAGGATACAAAATCAATGTACAGAAATCAGTTGCTTTCTTATACACTAACAATGAAAATATAGAAAGGGAAATTAGAGAATCGATTCCATTTACTATAGCACCAATAACCATAAGACACCTGGGAATAAACCTAACCAAAGAGTAAAGGATCTGTACTCGAGGAACTACAGAACACTCATGAAGGAAATTGAAGAAGACACAAAAAGATGGAAGAGTATTCTATGCTCATGGATCAGAAAATAAACATTGTTAAAATGTCTATACTGCCTAGAGCAATCTATACTTTCAATGCCATCCTGATCAAAATCCACAGGTATTTTTAAAGAGCTGGAACAAACAATCCTAAAATTTGTATGGAACCAGAAGGTTCTTGAATTGCTAAGGAAATGTTGAAAAAGAAGAACAAAACTGGGGGCATCATGTTGCCTGATTTCAAGCTTTACTACAAAGCAGTGATCACCAAGACAGCATGGTATTGGCATAAAAACAGACACATAGACCAGTATAACAGAGCAGAGAGCCCAGATATGGACCCTCAACTTTATGGTCAAATAATCTTTGACAAAGCTGGAAAAAATATACAGTGGAAAAAAGACAGTCTCTTCAATAAATGGTGCTGGGAAAATGGGACAGCAATATGTAGAAGAATGAAACTCAACCATTCTCTTACACCATACACAAAGATAAACATGAAATGGATAAAAGACCTCAACGTGAGGCCAGAATCTATCAAAATCAGAGAGGAGAATATAGGCAGCAACCTATTTGACATCGGCCACAGCAACTTGTTTCAAGATATGTCTCCAAAGGCAAAGGAAACAAAAGCGAAAATGAACTTTTGGGACTTCATCAAGACCAAAAGTTTCTGCACAGCAAAGGAAACAGTCAACAAAACAAAAAGGCAACCCAAAGAATGGGAAAAGACATTCACAAATGACACTACAGACAAAGGGCTGATATCCAAGATCTATAAAGAACCCCTCACACTCAACACACACAAAACAGATAATCATGTCAAAAAATGGGCAGAAGACATGAACAGACACTTCTCCAAAGAAGACATACAAATGGCTAACAGGCACATGAAAAAATGTTCAGCATCATTAGCCATCAGGGAGATTCAAATCAAAACCACATTGAGATACCACCTTACACCAATTAGAATGGCCAAAATTAATAAGACAGTAAATAACAATTGTTGGAGAGGAGGTGGAGAAAGGGAACCCTCTTACACTGTTGGTGAGAATGCAAGTTGGTGCAGCCACTTTGGAAAACAGTGCAGAGATTCCTCAAGAAATTAAAAATAGAGCTTCCCTATGACCCTGCAATTGCACTACTGGGTATCTACCCCAAAGATACAGATGTAGTGAAAAGAAGGGCCATCTGTACCCCGATGTTCATAGCAGCAATGGCCACAGTTGCCAAACTGTGGAAAGAACCAAGATACCCTTCAACAGACAAGTGGATAAAGAAGATATGGTCCATATATACAATGGAGTATTATGCCTTCATCAGAAAGGATGAATACCCATCTTTTATATCAACATGGACAGAACTAGAAGAGATTATAAGTCAAGCAGAGGAGTCAATTATCATATGGTTTCACTTACTTGTGGAGTATAAGGAATAACACAGAAGACATTGGGAGATGGAGAGAAGAAGTAAGTTGGGGGAGACAAACCATGAGAGATTGTGGACTCTGTGAAACAAACAGCGTTTTGGAGGGGAGGAGGGTGGAGGGATGGGTGAGCCTGGTGGTGGGTATTATGGAGGGTACGTATTGCGTGGAGCACTGAGTGTGGTGCATAAACAATGAATTTTGGAACACTAAAAAGAAATAAAATAAAATAAAATGGGGAAAAATGATAATACTTAAAAATGAACACTGACAAACAACTTAGTCAATATTTGCCACATGGCAATGAATATAAAAATCCTCAAGAAGGATTTCTTGTTTCACTGTCAATGTAAATAATAACAACACATTATAAAATATTTATAATAGCTTATTTTCTCCTGGCCAGAGTTTCCTAAAACATAATATTAATTCTTTACATAAAACAAATACTCCATACTTTAAGAATGTTATGTAAGTTAATTGATTCACATAATGCAATGTGAATTTGCTTTAATATGATATTAGGCATTTTCATGCCTAATCTCACACTACAGAGATACACAGAACAAGAATTTACTCTTTAAAAAAAAAATTTTTTTTATCTATTTATTTAAGAGAGAGAGGGACAAGATAGCAAGAGAGAGCAGAAGCAGCGAGGAGGGAGAAGCAGGCTTCGGTTGAACAGGGAGCCTGATGTGGGGCTTGATCCCAGGGCCCTGGGATCAGGACCAAGCCGAAGGCAGACGCTTAACAAACTGAGCCACCCAGGCACCCCTAGAATCCACTCTTTTTAAAATCTAGTCACTGATATCATTAGAAGCTTTTCCAAGATCTTTTTTTTTCTCCCCATTTGGAACTAGCATTTTACAATCATCTATTTTACACATCTACTTGTAATATGTCAAGTACTTGTTATATGCCAAACATTGGACTAAGATCTTTACACGATTTCTGTCTCATTATATATTTATATAACCTGACAAGGTTGCTATTCTTTACTGCCCATTTTACACATAAAGAAACTGCAAACTTGATTCATATAACTAGGAAGTAGAGGACACAGGATACAAAGGAAAACTAAATTGACTTGAAAATACATTCTCAGGGTGCCTCCTGGTTTTGGTTCAGCTCATGATCACCAGATCCTGCAATGGAGCCCTAGGTCGGACTCCATGCTCAGCAGGGAGTCTGCTTGAGGATTCTCTCTCTCCCTTTTTCTTTGCCCCTCCCCTCATGTGCCCTCTCTCACATTCTTTCTCTAAAATAGACAGATAGGTAGGTAGGTAGATAAAACAATCTTTAAAAAAAAAATTGTCTTAACCTTTTGGATATACTGCACCCCCAAAATAATAAAACACGTTAGTTCTTACTAAGTGTCAGCCATTATTCTACGCAGTTTACATGCTTCA